CCTTGAGATGAATCACCATACTGTTTTCCACAATGGTTTAACTAATTTACATTCTCACCAACAGTGTAAAAGTGTTTCTATTTCTTCACAGCCTCACCAGCATCTATTGTTTCTTGACTTTTTAATAATCACCATTCTGACCGCCATGAGATGGTTTCTCATTGTGGTTTTGATTTGCATTTCTTTAATGGTCAGTGATGAGGTTTTTTTCATATGTTTGTTGGCCACATAAATGTCTTCTTTTGAGAAGTGTCTGTTCATATCCTTTGCCTACTTTTTGATGGGGTTATTGTTTTCCTGTAAATTTGTTTAAGTTCCTTGTAAATTCTGGATATTAGGCCATTGTCAGATGGATAGATTGCAAAAATTTTCTCCCATTCCCTTTGAGGGCTATTTTATCCCCACTACTAAGACATGACTCCCATGGAGTCTCCACTGATTTCCTGGGGGTGATTGAGAAGAACTCTGCACTCTGACTTGCTAGAACTCACACATTCCATCCCTGTGTGACCTCTGGAAACTCTTCAGCTTATAGCTCCCCAACTGCTCTTTCCCCTGCCTTGTGGAGTTCCACTATACACAGCTTAATATTCAGTTTGTAAACCCAAAGGGAACCCACACAGATTTCTCTTGTTCTTTCTTGTCAACAACGGCCTCCTTTGCTGAAGCTTCCAGTAGCTTTAGGCTTCCTGAGCACTGACCTCTTAACTTTGTGAACCACCATGTTCTTTTTCAAACCCCTGTCCCTGTATCACATTTTGCAAAGTGCATCCAGGCAGAAAGCCAGGGCAATCATAGAGCTCACCTCATTTGTTTTCCTTTTCTCAGCTTTATAATCCTGTGCTATCTTTGTTCAAAATACAAAAACTGTTACCTCATCTATTGTATATATATTATTTCTAGTTGTTTATAGCAGGTGGGTAAGTTTGGACCTGGTTATTCCATCATGGCTGAAAATGAATTTTCATATTATTTGAATTGGGATTCTCAAAGCTTCTTGACCCCATAGCTTGATCTCTTTCACTGGTTTTTGATCAATTATAACCATTGGCTCAAATATGATTCCTGTTCCAGTATTTCTCTCTTCTTCTGGGACCCTAGTTATATGTGCTTTACCTTTTGGCTGTGTCCCAAATGCCTAACACTGTGTGTGTCATTTGCATTTTTTTTCCTCTCAGTGAGACAAATCTATTGACTTGACTTCACATTCATGAATCCTGTCTTCTATTGTGTCCAATCTGCTGTTAAAACTCATACAATAAGTTCTTGGCTACTGTATTTTGTTTCAGTTTGTAGCATACATATTTCATCCGTTTTTAGAGATTACAAATATTTTGAAATCCTTCATATTTTCATCCATTTCCTTTATGTCTATTAGTGGCAATTTAAAGTGCTTTTTGGCTAATTCCAGTATCAACATCATCTAAGTTTTCTGCATTCGTTTTTTATTGCTGCAAAAACAAACAGCCAAAAACTTAATGGTTTAAAACAACACTTATTTATTTATTTATTTATTTGAGATGGACTCTCACTCTGTTTTGTTTACTTATTATTTGAGACGGACTCTTGTTCTGTTGCCCAGGCTGGAGTGCACTGGTGCGATCTCAGCTCACTGCAACCTCCACTTCCTGGATTCAAGTGATTCTCCTGCCTAAGTCTCCCAAGTAGTTGGGACTATAGGTGCTCACAACCACGCCTGGCTAATTTTTTCGTATTTTTAGTAGAGACGGGGGTTTCCCCATGTTGGTCAGGCTGGTCTTGACCTCCTGACCTCAAATGATCTGCCTACCTTAGCCTCCCAAAATGCTGGGATTACAGGGGTGAGCCACTGTGCCTGGCCAACATTTAAATCCAAGACAAAAATGAGAAGATATTCAATTACCATGTAAGACGTTCCCTCCTCTCTTCCATTGGGTGAGGTATAGAGGGATGAAAGACATCATAAAGGAGCACACAGGTTGGCTGCATGGAGCCACACAGAATGTGTATCAGTGGCTAATGCTTGCTATACTGCTTGTTTTCCATGAGTTTAAAGTAAACAAACTCCTTGTGACTTTTTTTTTTTATCTGTAAAATATCAGAGGGTATGTCTGATTGGTGGAGGTGGGACCATCATCATCTTCCCTACTTAATAGTGTTGCCATGAGAATCAGTGGAATTCATCGATGTAATGCTTTTATAAAATGAAAAGACTTTACTTTCATAAATCAGTATTAAGAGATACTCACCACATTGCACTTGTGAACTGGTGACAGGGAGTACGGAAAAAAGAGGAAAAGAGAAAACAGATATCCAATAGATATCCACCAGTATCAGAATTCTGCAGGTTTGGGTTTTCATCAGTTTGTTTTTATTACCCATGTGACCTTGAGTTACTCACTACGGTGTTTTCTCTTATGTACAGTCTGGTATCTTCCAACTTAGGTCACAGGATTTGTGAGGATGAAATGTAAAAGCAAGATGATGTTTTAGCTCTCATTAGAAAATCACTAAGTTAAAATCCTAAGACATACCTTCTCCAAGTTGTAGAATATATTCTAACAATGAGATCAAACAGACAACCACATGGAAATAGAGAATATGTGTAGACATGTCAGTGGGATGATGTGTGCCGAATAGAAAGTAGCACAATAGTGTAATATATTGAAAATGGAACTGATGTAATCCCAGCACTTTGGGAGGCTGAGGCGGGTGGATCACGAGGTCGAGATCGAAACCATCCTGGTCAACATGGTGAAACCCCGTCTCTACTAAAAATACAAAAAAATAGCTGGGCATGGTGGTGCATGCCTGTAATCCCGGCTACTCAGGAGGCTGAGGCAGGAGAATTGCCTGAACCCAGGAGGCGGAGGTTGTGGTGAGCTGAGATTGCACCACTGCACTCCAGCCTGGGTAACAAGAGCGAAACTCCGTCTCAAAAAAACAAACAAACAAACAAAAAAAGAAAATGGGGCCGGGCGCGGTGGCTCAAGAGGTCGAGAGATCGAGACCATCCTGGTCAACATGGTGAAACCCCGTCTCTACTAAAAATACAAAACCTTAGTTGGGCATGGTGGCACGTGCCTGTAATCCCAGCTACTCAGGAGGCTGAGGCAGGAGAATTGCCTGAACCCAGGAGGTGGAGGTTGCGGTGAGCCGGGATCGCGCCATTGCACTCCAGCCTGGGTAACAAGAGCAAAACTCCGTCTCAAAAAAAAAAAAAAAAAATGGAACTGAATAGAAAAATGGGGAGGGAGAAAGAAAACTATGTAAAAGACATTTTAAATAATCTATCCTGGTAGTTTCTTGAAATTTAAGAGTATAATCAGAGGCATTAAAAATCAATAATTTTAGTGTCCAAACATCACTATTAATAGTAGGGTGTAGTTTCTTCCTAGCTTTTTCTGTGTGTGTTTCTCTCCACATGTGATAAACACAGACAAGATAGAAATGTAATATAAATATATACATATGTATCTAACTTTTTACTAATCAAAAATTTGCCTATATTCCTACAACCCAGAGACACTGAATTCATAATGGTACATATCCTTTTTTTTTTTTTTTGAGACAGACTCACTCTGTTGCCCAGGCTGGAGTGCAGTGGTGCAATCTCGACTCACTGCCACTTCTGCCTCCTGGGTTCCAGTGATTCTCCTGCCTCAGCCTACCAAGTAGCTGGGATTATAGGCATGCGCTGCCACACCCGGCTATTTTATGTATTTTTAGTAGAGATGGGGTTTCGCCACATTGGCCAGGCTGGTCTCCAACTCTTGACCTCAGGTGATCTGGCTGCCTTGGCCTCCCAAAGTGCTAGGATTACAGGCATGAGCCACCTTGCCCAGCCATATCCTTCTGATATATGCCACTTTACAACACAGATCATAAAGTAGTTTTATAGTCTGTTTACTATGAACATTTTCCAAACTCCTTAAAATATGAATGCATTAATGGAAGCATGATTCCAATTTATGAATGTTATCAACAGTTAATCACCTATCACTGGATATTCAAATTGCTTATTTTTATTTCAATTAATACTGCTCTTATAGGATCTTTCCTAGAAATTCTGAACCTCCTATTGCCCCACCATAATTACTTTAAGAGAGAATCAATTTTGACCAGTTTTCAAAGAAAAGTATCCCGGAAGAGTATAACTTTCCTCCATAAGATGCTTCCACTTTTGCACTGATGATAGATAAAACACACGTGCAACATCTATTTGGGCTGTTTGGGAATCCTTCTGGCTCATGTGCTCTCAAAGTAATCTATTTAGGGATTATTTGTTTGGGAATCCTTCTGGCTCATGTGCTCTCAAAGTAATCTATTTAGGGATTATCTATTTACAGATAATCTTGGAGATTGGCCTAGTAAGGATTAATATGTTTTTCCTCTGTTCTCCTGATTATAAAATATATTTATACTTACAGAAGCTTTTAAGCCTATTCTGCAGAGAATATGTATACAATTAATAATTGAGTGCTTCATTGTAACCTCTGTGATCTTTTCTATAAAATGGATGACATATATAAGACATGATTCTTATATTATACAGGAAACTGGGTTCTCAAATTAATGTTTCCTGAATGCAACTGCTCTGACACCTCACTTCTTTCCAAAGGCTTTCCAGTGTTTGCTATCTTTATGGTTTTGACCCTTCATAAATTATTTGATGTACAATTTACTAAAATTCATGGGTAAGGAATTTATCACTTATTGGCTGGTCACAGTGGCTCAAACCTGTAATCCTAGCACTTTGGGAGGCTGAGGTATGCAGATTACTTGAGCCCAGGAGTTCGAGACTAGCCTGGGCAACATGGCGAAACCCAATCTACAAAAAATGCAAAAATTAGCTGGATGTGGTGGCAGATGTCTGTAGTCCCCACTACTCGGGAGGCTGAGGTGGGAGATTAACTTGAGCCTGAGAAGTCGAAGCTCTGGTGAGCTGTGATCGTGCCACTGCATTCCAGCCTGAGTGACAGAGTGAGACCCTGTCTCAAAAAAAAAAAAAAAAAAAAAAAAAAAGAATTTATCATTTATTGAATGATTTGAGTAACTTGAGTTTTCTTCTATCTACTGAAGGCTAAATTGTATCTGGGGGCTTTTTAGTATTAGATTTACATGATTACACTCAGTGAATTCTTTGATGCACATTATGACAGTGTGCAGTAATCCTCCCTTATCTGTGGGAGCTATGTTCCAAGATCCCTAGTGGATGCCTGAAACTGTGAATAGTACTGAACCTGATTTCTGTCAGAACCCATTTCTAGTCATGCCTCCCACCCACAAGTTTAATGTCTTTTTCATCTTAGCACTTACCTTGCACTGTGGCCATCACTTTTGCAGTTTGAGGTGTGACAACAAAACTAACACAAGTTTCTTTTTCCTTCTTCACAATTTCTTGGATAGAAGATTCATTCTTACTGTAAATTTTAACAACGTCAGCATGTATTTTTTTTTTTTCTTTATTAAGTCAAGAACTTTCACCATTTCAATTTAAGGGAGCACTTTATAGCTTATTTTTGGCATATGCAAATTGCCAACATCACTACTCTTGCAGTTTGGGGTCATTATACAATAAGGGTAGCTTTAATGCAAGCACTGCAATCCCATGACAGTCAATCTGACAACTGAGACAGCTAAGTGGCTAATGGGCAGGTAGCATATACAGCATGGATATAATACTGGACAAAAGGATGATTCAAGCCAGGCGCAGCAGCTCACACCTTTAATCCCAGCACTTTGGGCGGCTGATGCAGGAGGATCACTTGAGGTCAGGGGTTCAAGACCAGCCTGACCAACATGGTGAAGTTCCACCTCTATTAAGAAAACAAAAATTAGTTAGGTGTGGTGGCGCACGCCTGTAATCCCACGTACTTGGGAGGCTGAGGCAGGAGGATTGGTTGAACCCGGCAGGTGGAGGTTGCAGTGAGCCAAGACTGTGCCACTACACTCCAGTCTGGGCGACAGAGCAAGACTCCATCTCAAAAAAAAAAAAAAAAAGATGATTCACTGAATTGCATCCTGAGCAGCAAAGAGCAGGACAGTGCAAAATTTCATGACACTACTCACAATAGCATGCAACTTACGCATATATGTTGTGACATACAGTAAGAGTTGATTTAACACTGAACGATTTCCCACATTCATTACAGTTGTAAGGTTTCTCCCACGTGAATTATCTGTTTCATGAGAGCTGACTTCCTACTGAAGGCTTTCTCACAGACACTACATTTATAGGGTCCCTGTCCATATGAATTTTCTTAAGTTTAATAAGTGGTGCCCTCTGGATAAAGGTTTTTCCACATTCACTGCATTCATAGGGCTTCTCCCCTGTGTGAGTTCTCTGGTGTGCTATGAGGGTTGACTTCTGGCTGAAGGCTTTTGCACATTCACAGCATTCATAAGGTGTCTCTCCGATGTGAGTCCTTGGATGTACAACTAAGTTTACTTTCTGGATAAACCCTTTTCCACATTGAGTACATCTGTAGAGTGTCTCCCCAGTTTGACTTCTCTGACTTTTCTGAAGCGCTTGCTTTTGGTGGAGGGCTTTCCCTCATTGATTAGGGTCAAAAAATTTCTCCGCAGGTTGAGCTTTATGAAGGTTAGAATGGAGGCATACTTTGCAATATGCCTTACATCCATCATCTTTCTTTCTTACATAGCTTCTATTTTGACTAAGAAAGTTTAAATTATGTTTTGAATGCCTTTTCCCATGAATGATATTTAGGGAGTCTTTGTCTTACAGAATCAAAGTCTGTGCTGAGATAAATGCTTTTGCTACGTGTTCTGCATTCTTGATCACTTTCATCCTTCAGTGTTTCCTTGCCTATGAATGCAGCTTGCCACAGAAGTTTGTCTTGGCTTTCCTCGTAGCGATCTATCTGCTCATCAACTTGCCAGACTTCTAGAAGAAAATGCAATGAATCATCAAACTTGTTAAGTCTTTCCACTAGAATGTTATGGAATAACATTAATCCCTAAAGGCCCTGCAGTGAACTCCTATCAACATGACTTGAGCTGATGTAGATGGACCCTCCCCATGTCCCACCACCACCACCTCCCCTGAGTGCAAGTACAAAGAAATGCTGGCTCAAATTTAACAAAAATAATTTAATATGCAGCCAAGCTCAAACCAAGAAAATAAATTTATTATGTGACAAAAATGAAGAAGAAATTTAAAGTGAGGAGGTGAACAGAAATTGAAGCTGTGTGGCTTTGCAGTTGGGGGGCTAAGGCTCTCATCATGAGTGTGAAGTGAATTCTAGGCCACAGGACACAAATGTGCAGAGAATTGGAATTGAGCTACCTGCTTAAAGCTGGGAGTCACAAAGGACATCTCTGTATGTAAAATAGGAACTAGAAAGATGCCACCCACTGGCTAATGAAAACGTTAAGAAGAATCAGGGGTTACTTACAAGAAGTCAGAACCACAGTCCTGTACCACATGTAGGAGTGCATTCCAAATGGATATTTGAAGTATAATACAAAACCCCCGAAGTTGATAAATTCACCTATAAATTGTTCCTGCATTAGTGAAACCAGTGGGCCCCAGCAGTGGCAATCCAAATAGTTCTGCAGTGATGCTTTCATAGCTTAGGGTACACAGAATTTCCATGGAAAATAACTCTCACTGAAAAGGAGTTCACAGTAAAAAAATTACAAACTTCAAAAGGAAATGAACCACAATGAGTTGAAAACTTATGTCTACAGAAAAGCCTGCACATGATGTTTATAGCAGCTTCATTCATAATGGCCCCAAACTGGAAGCAACCAAGATGTCCTTCAATAGGTGAATGGATAAACAAAGTGATCCACAATGGAATATTATTCAGCAATAAAAAGAAATGGGCTATCAAGCCATGGACATGGAGGAAACTTAAATGCATATTGCTATTTGAAAGAAGCCAGTCTGAAAAGGCTACATACTATATGATTCCAACTATATGACATTCTAGGAAAGGCAAAACTATAGAGATAGTAAAAAGATCAGTACTTGCCAGGAGAGAGTGAAAAAGGGATGAAAAAGCAAAGCACAGGGGATTTTTTAAGGGCGGGAAAACTATTCTGTATGAAACAGTAATGGTGGATTTTTATGCATTTGACAAAACCCATAGAACTGAACAACACAAAGAGTGAACCTTAATGTAAGATGTGACTTTAGTTAATAATAATGTATTCATTCACCAGTTGTAACACATGTACCATACTAATGCAAGATGTTACTATTAGGGGAAATTGGTGGGGTGGGGGCGGGTAGAGAGAGGTATAAGGAAACTCTCTGGAGAGAGATGTGTAAAGGGATGGAGATATACCATGAAAACCTAACCAAAAGAAAGCTGGAGAAATTACATTAATTTCAGACAATGATTTCAGAACAAGAAGGATTTTCTGGCACAAAGAGGGACATTACAAAATGATAAAACAGTCAATTCTTTGAGAAGAAATAACAATCCTAAAAGTGTATGTACCTAATAACAGCACTTCAAAATACATGAGGCAAAAATGGATACATCTGAAAGAGAAACAGACAAATCCACAATTATTGTTGGAGACTTCAACACTCTTTCTCTCAATAATTGATAGAACAAGTAGACAGAAAACCAGCAAGGATATAGATAATCGGAACAGCACCATCAACCAACTTCACCTAATTGACATTCAAAGAACACTGCATCCAACAACAGCAGAATATACATTCTTTTCAAGTGCATATGAAACATTCACCAAGATAGAACATATTCTGGGTCTTAAAACAATCCTGTACAAATTTATAAGAAATCATATTATGTGCAATAACAGTATTACAACAAAAAAAATCAATGAGAAAGATACTTGGAAAACCCCAAATATTTGGAAATTTAAAGATATACTTACTTCTAAATAAGTCTTAAGGGGAATTTGAAACTATTTTGAATTAAATGAAAATACAACATATCATAATTTGTGGGACACAGATAAAACAGCAATTGGAGGGATATTTATAGCACTGAATGCATATATTAGAAATAAAGATCAAGCAGAAGAAAAGAAATAATAAGAGCAGAAATCAATGAAGTTGAAAATAGGAATGGTCTTCAAATGGTGAATGGCTAAACAAACTGTAGTACATCCATTTGGTGGAATACTACTCCGTGACAAAAGGAAGAAACTCTGGGTACTCACAACAGGATGAATCCAACTGAGAAGTATGCTGAGTGAAAAGAACCAGTCCCATAAAGTATCATACTGTATGACCTCACTTATATAATATTCTTGAAGTGACAAAATTAGAGAAATGGAGAACAAATTAGTAGTTGCCAGGGCTTAAGAAGGGGTGGAGTGGGAAGGAATGGGTATAGCTATACAAAGGCAACATGAGGGACCCTTGTAGTAATGGAAATGTTCTGTATCTTGACTTTCTCAATATCAATATCCTTGTTGTGATTTGTAGCATAACTTTTCAAGATGTCACCATTAGTAGAAACTAGGTAGAATACATGAGATCTCTCTGTATTATTTCCTACAAGGGCATGGGAATCTACAATTATCTCAACATGGAATGTTTGATTTAAAAAATAGTCAAATATTCCAAAGAGGAGAATGGTGAAGAGAAACAACAACAACAACAACAACAAAAAAAAAAAAAAAAAAAAAAAAGAAGTTTGGTTGGGAGGATGAACAGAAGAAAATAATGCAATGGTACATCTAAATCCAATAATATCAATAATTACATAGGATATAATTGTCTAAAGGAGAAAAAACACAATCATAGGAACTGATCCATAAAAATAATTTATAACATCCATTCATAAAACTTTCAGAAAATCAGGATTAGAAGGAAATATCCTCAACCTTTATCAGGCCATCTATGAAAAAACCTACAAGTAAGATTATGCCTAATGGTGAGACAGTAAATGCTTTTGTCCTAAGATCAGGATCGAGGCAAGTATGTTGCTCTCTCTACCCCTAGTCAACATTATACTGAAGGTCCTAGCCAGTAAGTACAATAAGGTAAGAAAAAGAAATAAAAGCATTCAGACTAGTAAAATAAATAAACTGTCCTTATTCATAACTACATGATTGTTTTATGTAGAAAATACCAAACCATCTATAAAAGAGCTACTGGCACTAATATGTGAGCTTATTAGAAAGGTTCCAGGATACAAAGCCAATATGGAAAAATCAATTACACTTCTATAAACTAGAAGTGTGAAATAGGAAAGTGAAATATAAAACAACTATATACATACACACTCCATTTATATTACCTTGTAAGAACAGAAAACACGGGTAAATTAAGCAAAATATGTGCAAGACCTATCCATTCGAAGCTATCAAATATTACTGAAATAAATTTTAAAAGACTGAAATAAACAGATATACAATACTCATGATTTAGAAGGCTAAACATTGCATACTCATGATTTAGAAGGCTAAACATTGCACATCAATTATCCACAGATTGATTCTAAAATATCTAGGAAAATACCAAGGACCTAAACTAGCTAAAACATTATATAAAAAAAAGAAGAACAAAGTAAGAAGACTCATACTATCCGATTTGAACACGTAATATAAGACTACAGTAATTAAGACCTGTGGCACAGGTTGTGTATCATTTATCCAAAATGCTTGGAACCAGAAGTGTTTTGGATTTCAGACTTTTTCGGTTTTCAGAATGTTTGCATTATACTGGTTCAGCATGCCTAACCTGAAAACATGAAATCTGAAATGCTTCAATGAGCATTTCCTTTGGATGCCATGTCGGTGGCTCAAGAAGTTTTGGATTTTGGAGCATTTTGGATTTTGGATTTCTGGATTAGGGATACTCAACCTGTACTGGTGTACAGAGTGACACATATGTTCAAGTACTTTTCAAAAAGGATGCCAAAGTAAGTTAACTAAGAAAGAACAGTCTAGAATAGACTGTGGATATTTGATAGTAACTTATCTTTCTTACTTATCCTCTCTTCTGCTCTGGTTAATCTGCTATTAAGTCTATATATTAAATTCTTTTTAAATTGTTGTTGTTTTTAAAGTTTGTGTTTCTTTTTCCTTTTTCATATATAGTAAATTCTTGATTTTAAGTTTTCATTAGATTATTTTATATATCCTAGCTCCCCAGTGAAATTCTTACCCTTGATATTTTTTCTTTGAGACAGAGTCTCACTCTGTTGCCCAGGCTGGAGTGCTGGAGTGTGGTAGTGTGATCTTGGCTCACTGCAACTTCCACCTCCTGGATTCAAGTGATTCTCGTGCCTCAGCCTCCTGAGTAGCTAGGACTACAGGTGCACACCACCATGCCCAGCTAATTTTTTAGTAGAGACAGGGTCTCACTATGTTGCCCAGGCTGGTCTCAACTTCCTGGGCTCAAGGGATCCTCCCACCTCAGCCTCCCAAAGTGCTGGGATTATAGGTGTGAGCCACCACACCTGGCATCATTTTAAAGTAGATGTCAAATTACAAATGGATCACTTGTTGATTTCAGAAAAAGAAAGAATATTCTTTTCAAAAATGTTACTGGAAATGCATATGTAAAAATAATATAAAAGTATGCTGACTCTTCCCTCACACCAGATACAAAAATTAAGTCATTAACAGTCATAGACTTAAATATAAGAACTAAAATTATGAATCTCCTGGAAGAAAACATATGAAAAAAACTCTATTACCCTGGGTTAGAGAGAGATTTGCTAAAGAGGACATAAAAAACATGAACCATAAAATAAAAATTTAATAAATTGGACTTCATAAAAAAACAGAAACTTTTTTTTTCAAAAGATACTGTTCTGAACAAAACAAGCCATAGTCTAGGAGTAAATACTTGGAAAACACATAGCTGGTCAGGACTTATATCCATATATATTAATATAAATAACTCTCACAATTTAATAACAAACAATGGCAAAATATTACAATAGACACTTCACCACAGAACATATACAGATGGCAAATGAGCACATGAAAACATGCTCAACAGCACTGATCATTACAGAAATGCAAATTTAAATTACAATGAGATCCCCCTACATACCTAATAGAAAGGTGTGTTGTTGGTGGGAAAACAAAATAGTACAGCCACATTAGAAAACACTTGACAGTATCTTTTTTTTTCTTTTGAGAGACAGGGTCTCACTCTGTTGCCCAGGCTGGAGTAGAGTGGCATGATCTCAGCTCACTGCAACCTCTGCCTCCCGGGTTCAAGCAATTCTGCCTTAGCTTCCCAAGTAGCTGGAATTACAGGTGTGTGCCACCACACCCAGCTAATTTTTGTATTTTTAGTAGAGATGGGGTTTTACTATATGTTGGCCAGGCTGGTCTCAAATTCCTGACCTCAAGTGATCCGCCTGCTTCAGCCTCCCAAAGTGCTGGGATTACAGGCGTGAGCCACCGTGCCCGGCCCAATGTCTTATAAAGTTAAACATATGCTTACCATATAGCCAAGCAATCTCACTCCAGATATTTACCCAAGAGATATGAAAACAAAGATCCACAGAAAGGCCTATACAAAAATGTTCACCAGCTTCATTCATAATAACCAAAAAAACAGGGACAGTTCAAATATGCATTAAGTGGTACATCGACAGACAAACTGGAACACTACTCAGTTATCAAAAGAACAAACTGATACATGCCACAACATGGATGAGCCTAAAATGCATTAAGGTAAGTGAAAGAAGCCAGCCACATGACATTCTAGAAAGAACCAAACTAGAAGGAAAAGAGATCAAGCCTGGGATGAGGAGAGAGACTAAATTACAAAAGGAAACAAGGAGTTTTTTGTAGGGGATGAAAATGTCCAATACCTTGACTGTGGTAGTAGTTACACAGCTATATATTTGTCAAAACTATACAACTGTACACCTAAGAAAGATAAATTTCATGGTATGTACATTATACCTTAATTTCATTTGAAAAAAAAAAAGAATGCAGTCACATCAGCATAAATATATAATGACCACATATGAAAAACACATATAGAAAATTATGTTCAAACAGTAACATGTATAGCCAAAGATCATATGGTGCCATTAGGGCATTTTGTTTTATTAAAATACTTCATGAACACTAATGATAAAGTACTAACAAATATTGAACTCTAATTAATGATACGCCTGTGGAGGTATTTAGGGGTTAAGGGTACTGATTTCTGTAACTTCCTTTGAAATGCACTACAAAAAAATACATCAAATTGATGGAAGGACAGAGGAATTGGCAGACAGGAGATAAACATGGCAAAATGTTTACAGTTATTATAAATCTAGGTGTTATTACAGAACACCCATATAGGGATTATATGGTGTTCAGTCTATAATTCTTTTACTTGTTTAATACAAAAATTTTCATAATAAAATGTTGAGGGGGAAAAGCTAAATAAAGAACAGCAAAGTCAACAGAAAGTTAGTAGAAAAAAGGAAATAAGCCAGGCGCGGTGGCTCAAGCCTGTAATCCCAACACTTTGGGAGGCCGAGGTGGGTGGATCACGAGGTCAAGAGATGGAGACCATCCTGGTCAACATGGTGAAACCCCGTCTCTATTAAAAATACAAAAATTAGCTGGGCATGGTGGCGCGTGCCTGTAATCCCAGCTACTCAGGAGGTTGAGGCAGGAGAACTGCCTGAACCCAGGAGTTGGAGGTTGCAGTGAGCCGAGATTGTGCCATTGCACTCCGGCATGGGTAACAAGAGTGAAACTCCGTCTCAAAAAAAAAAAAAAAAGAAAAGAAAAGAAAAAAGGAAATAAAAGGAGAAATCAATAAAACAGAAAAATGGTAGAGAAAATTAACAAAGCTAAAACTTCTTTCTATGAAAAGATCAACAAGCTTGAAATAAACTTCAGTTTGTACTACAACATGAGACCGGACAGTTTTCGTTATTATAATGAGGCTACTCTTGAAAGTAACAGTTCCTAGAAGATTTTTATTATCTCAGTATGACCAGTGAACTTATGGGACCAGCCAGTGGTTTCATCCAGGAGGCAGAGGGAAAAATACATTTCCTGAAATAGATTTAAATACAGAGGAACAAGGAAGAAATTCAAGTTGCTTTCTGATTCCAACCCTGGGAGTTTGGAGACTCCCTAGGAATGAGTCCACGTTATTCATCCACATACAAGTGGCTAAGAGCATAGACTGTGGAGCCACATAGCCTGGGTTGGAATTCTGGCCACTTCCCTCACTAGCTATCCCATCCCATCCTGCTCGCATGCTCGTTGCTATCTCCTACTATTTCCTTGCAATTCCTCTCAGCAGATATTTCAAGTAGTGGATCTTAACCAAAGATGGGCATCAGAATCCTCTGGAGTGTCAGTCAAAATGCACATAACGAAGCCTACCCCAGGCTTTCTGAAACAATTTCTAGAGCAGGGCCTACTCATGGGTATTCTGACAGATCCACAGGTAACCATGTAATATATCTCTGGTTAACAACCACCACATTAAATTAAAAAACAAAACAAAACACTTTTTAATGGATAATAACAACATTAAAAATAGTGATAACATTTGTTGAGTGCTTCCTTTATCCCAGGCACCCTTTTAGGTGCTTTACATGCATCAACTCATTAATTTCTGACATTCGTTCAGTTCTATCATTAGCCCCTTTCTACAACAGGTAGAGAGGCCAACCAATGTGTGCACAGTGATAGTTAGTGAGGGTAGTGGCCAGAATTTCAACCCAGGCTATGTGGCTCCACAGTCCATGGTCTTAGCTACTTGTATCTGGATGAATAACAAAGCTCCTTCCTCTGCCCAGGTCCAAAACAATCAGTGCAATATTTACTGAATGTCTTCCACCAGTCTCACATTGGAACATGTCAGAACAAGATGCAGGCTCTTACGTCTAGGGGTTTGTGTTCAAGCTAGAGAAATGAGCCACTGGCCCTTAGCTAAGTTTTTTTTTTTAAGTTACCATATGAAATGCACAGCTGTATTATTTAAAGTTACAAATGTAACCAATAAAGGAACTAAAAATAAGCATTTAACAAACTTGTAAAGAGCTGGGAAGTGGAGGGCCAAAGTATGAGGGAAATCCTTAGTCTTCATGGAGAGGAGATCAAACTGAAAACCCACAAAATGCAGATATAAAGGTATTCCCTAAACCTATAGAAGTGCTCAGAACCAAAAAGAGAAATCTTTACAAGAAACTGCCCTTGGAAGGCATGACTGGGAATGTACCTAAGATTACTTTTTAGCCTATACTGTTCTGCACTCTTAAACTGAATATATAAATGTCTATATTTTAATATAATATAGTTTTTACTATGAGAGAATTGGGTGGAGGAGGGTGGACTGTGCCTGAATTTGCTTTTGCTCCCTTCCAGGATAGCACTGAAACGAGAACAAGACACACAGTCACTACAATTGCAGGCATCACTGGAAGAAAGCAAGCATACTGTCAGCACACCAGAAATCCTGATGAATCTCTAAGCAGCAGATGTGGAATTACACTGAGCACTAAAGAGGTTATCATTGCCTAAACATTCCTGGGGGAAGCTACAGAGTGGTGGGAGCCACAAATGCCAGCACAGGGAGGATCTCAGAGAGCTGGTGTGTTCGCTGACGAGTGGGTTCTGGAGGAAGCCATCCGAGGAGTTATCTGTAGGTCCTTGGGGCCCGCGCCTGACTGCAGTTGATGTTCTGAAATTCATCTCTAATGAGCAGTGCTTCTCAAGCTTTACTATGCCTATGGTGTCCCTGGGGAGCTTGTTGAAATGCACATTCTCATTCAGAAAATCTGGAGTGGGGCCTCAGATTCTGATTTTCTACTTAGAGCCCAACAATGCCCAGGCTGCTGGTTCAGGGATCACCCTCTGAAGAGTAAGAACATTCTAAAAAGGCTTCTTTGCCATAGTCCACTGAAGGGGGTACTATGAAGGGGAGAGAAAGAGCAGATCAGTGGATCTGAAGAGTTTCTGGATCCTTATAGGCAGCCCACTGGAAAAACAGACAAGAAAAATGCAGCTCTATGCAGGACTACAATACAGTTCACTGAATTATTCCACCCTGGGAGTAATGTCCTCTCAAGTGTGTTTATATTGTGAATAAGAGATAATATCAAAAGCAAGAGTTAAGTGGGAAGTATGTACTGAAAAGTGGAGGAATCTGATAACAGGTAGTATCAAGTCAGATTTGTAAGAGTCTGAGAAGAAGTAAGTAGAGAAAACAGAAAATGGTGTGAGGTTTACAGTGTTAACTACAAAGTGAGAGCAGGCAAGAATGTGGCAGGTACCTGACTGGTAAAGGTCACTGGCAAAGCTTTGGTGTCCACACTGCCTCCCCCCAAAAAAAAACAGGTATGATAATATACCTTAGGCTAAAAAAAAAAAAAAAAAAAAAAAAAAAAAACTAATCCAAATTTCAGCCTGAAAGGGCCCACAGTACGCCCAGTAAAGAGGAAATGCTGACATCTATTAATACATCTACTATGGTGAAAATACAAAAGGCCAAGAAGGTAGGAGAATAAGTCTTAACAATTTCCATAAAGGTGGTGGGAGAGGAATGAGAAGGGGCTTGGCACTTCTCACCAGCAAGCCAGGAGGCTGGAAGGTAGAAATGGGATCTCAGAATAAGAGTGGCCACAACCTATGTGAACGCCAAGCAAAGAACACAGAGACCGTAACTGGCTGCCAGGCAGAGGACTCTTGTGCACACGACAGCAGCTCCGTTCATCAGAGCCTAGGCGTGTCCACAAGTCCGGGGCTCTTAGAAGGGCTCCCGAGCGCATCCCAGAAGCCAAGCTCTCGCCAACCAACCTTGTCCCCTTTCCCCGGCCTGACACACCTGGCCTGTCCTCACCTGCACAGGTGCGCACCGGGGTCCCTCCATCTGCCCTCCAGGACTCTTCTCCTGGTCCCAACCTGAAGATCATATCTGGCTTGGCAAGCAGATACCCTGTTCAGGGGAAATGACACAGGACTTCGTTATTAATGCTGAGGAATTCCAGAACCTACGCCCACCCCTGCAGGCTGAAGGTGGCACGGCCTCGGTGACGGCCCCATGCATCCAGCTTATCTGCCCCTCAGTACAGAACATTCACAAAGCAAGCAATGGCACCAATATGCTGTCCAGCGTCCAAACGGGACTACGAATACTATACAGAGGGCTGTAACCCAAACCCACGGAGGCTTGTAACCCACACTCATTGTTCCCAGGCCCCGCAGCGTGGAGCGGCTGAGAAAGAAAGACAGTACTGGGGGCATTCTGCATCACACTGTGACGCGGTCCCTCACCCACGGACACCAGGTGGCTGTAGTTCTCAAGCATGACGTCCCTGTAGAGGTTCTTCTGGGCAGAGTCCAGTTGCTGCCACTCCTCGAGGGTGAAGTCCACGAACACGTCCTTGAAGGTCAATGATTCCTGTAATGGCACATTCCTCTTTAGCACCCCGGGACCAGCCTGGGGCACTGGGACATGGCACCTCACGTACATGGAGGGCTTACTCTGTGCTCTCTGAAGTGCTCACACGTACTAAAGATTTCGATCCTCGCCGCCACCCTAGGAGAAACTTGACAGATGAAGAGCGGGAGGTGCACGGAGCCTAAGTAACTAGCTCAGGTCACACAGCCAGGAATGAGGGATTCGAATCCACACAATCTGGCTCCCGCAGCCACGTCAGCCTTTCTCATGTAATTGTTCTTATGACAGTCACTAGTCAGTTCGGCACCGTATATTACATAGAGTATCTACATGACTAAAATCATTTTGAACTTTATAGGAGAAACATATAGGGTATGAGAAATATCTCACCCTGGAAATTCATTCATTCAACACATGTTTACTGAACAGAGGCCAGGCTGGTAAGTCCTGTGAAGCAAAGATTAATACAAAACGATACATCTTGAACTCAAGGAGCTTCGGTTTGGTAGAGGGAGAAAAGCAACACTTAGACACTCACAGACGAGAAACAAAGGAAGGGAGGAAGCCTGCCTCACAGGGACATGGACAGATGTAGGACAGGGTCCGGGTGGCCCACAGAGGAGGAAGTCAATTCTGCTTGGGGCTGTCAGACCAGGCTTCGCAGGAGACACAGAGCTACAACAAACAGTTCTAAACATAGCTAGCCAATCATGACAAACCATTCTAACCTTCATTCATCAATCATGAGACAAAGAACAGGAAGCCAGAGGTCTGTGGCCTGGGCAGCTGACCAAGGCAAAAGGGGAAGGATCTGCACTTGACCTTGTCACCACCAAACAAAAACTCACTTCTGCAAGTGCCCCAATTCCTCGCAAAGACCAATACCCCCTGTTTCTGCTCCGGATCCCATCCTGTCATGTTCTCACTTTGGTGGCCTTCAATTCAAGCCACTTGTTGCACCCATAAGGCCCAAACCGGCCACAGTAGACACCAGTTTACCCAGCTGTGCGGAAGGAGAGGAGACAGGAAAGCCAGGGTGCCAGAGGGTGGTGACAGGCAGGTTTCTCCAGCACGAGGGCTTCTCAGAGCAATCCAGGAGCTATTAGCCCAATCTGTCCCTCCCTCGTGATAGCTCCAGTGCCTGGGAACAAAACCACACTGCTGAGTGCTAGGGTGACATTGCTTGGAAGCCTGAACCTGTTCTATAGACCAATATCTCTTGTAACGGCCCCAGTAGCACGGCTTCCAGGGTCCTAGCAAAAGATGTGCCCAGTTACGTATCACTGAGTGACAATGTACTCAGAAAACCCCAATCTGGCCGGGCGCAGTGGCTCACACATGTAATGCCAGCACTTTGGGAGGCCAAGGCCGGCAGATCGCTTGAGTTTGGGAGTTCAAGACCCACCTGACCAATATGGTGAAACCCCATCTCTACTAAAAGTACAGAATCAGCCAGGCATGGTAGCGCATGCCTGTAATCTCAGCTACTCAGGAAGCTGAGGCAGAAGAATTGCTTGAGCACAGGAGGCAGAGGTTGCAGTGAGTCAAGATTGTGCCATTCCACTTCAGCCTGGGAAAGAAGAGTGAGATTCTTTCTCAAAAAAAAGAAAAAAGAAAAAGAAAACCCCAATCCATGGCTTCCTACCAGCTAGTCATAGTTTACTCAGTCCTCCCAGTTCAGATACATTTTGTTTACCAATCCAGAGTCATTTTTATTGGGAGTGATGTCACCGGGTTTGATATTGTGAAATATTTATTTGGGTTTTGTCCTGTCTCCTGGCAAAAAGCTCCTGCAACCCATGGAATAGCCCCTGAAGTGATCAAAAGTCTTATATATATAAATGAGATGACTGTTGGCTAACAGCCCTTAGGTAGCTTCTGGATGTGGGCTGCTCACCAGAAAACCAGGCAGGATTAGAGGGCTGGGAATTTCATCTCCATCCTCCAAACTCCTGGGAGGGGAGAAAAGCTGAAGGTTGAGTTGTTCACCAAGGGCCAATGATGATCAGCCCCACTCTGGCCAGGCATGGTGGCTTGCTCCTGTGATCCCAGCACTATGGGTGGCTGAGGAAGATCACTTGAGGCCAGGAGGTTGGGGCTGCGGTGAGCCAAGATCGCACCACTGTACTCCAGCCTGGGTGACAGAGCAAGACCCTGTCTCTGAAAAATAACAACGACATCCAAAGGACTGGGTGGGTTCGGACGGCTTCCAGACAGCTGAACACTTGGTGGTTCCTGGATGGCAATGAGTCCACAGAGGGCACGAAAGTCCGTGGACCTTCCCACATCCCCTGCCCTATGCATCTCTTCCATCTGGCTGTTCATCTTTATCCTCTGTAATATCCTTTATAACAAATAGGGCAAAGAAACTCAGTTTCCCTGGGTCCTGGGACTCACTCTAGCAAATTAATCATCTTCAGGAGGAGGTCATTGGAACCCCCAATTTGTGGCCCATCCGTCAATGTATAGGTGACACCCTACTTGCAACTGGTATCTAGAGTAGGGGGGCAGTCTTGTGGGACTAAGCCCCAATCTGTGGGAGCTGACAGTAACTCCAGGTAGACAGTGTCAGAAGGGAACTGACCTAGTGGACACCCAGCTGGTGTCCCCTGGAGAACTGCCTGGTATGTGGGGAAACAGCCTGGGACCTGGGATCACATCTGGTGTGGGAAGTGTTGTGTCAAGTTAGAGTAGACAGTAGGAAAAATGTAGGATTCCTTCCCTATCTCTCAGACCCAGTAAAATAGCTGTCATCCCATTATCAGGTTTCCAGTAACACAGAGCTAAATATGACAATGATGATGAGAGTTAATAATGACTAATAGATCCTCTGAGTAAAGTGTCAGCGGTTACTTCATAGTAAAAGTATCTTCAATCTCTGCAGAAAAGATACCATCAGAAAAATCTGGCTAGGTATGTATGAAGGGAAGAAACTCCATAAAAGCAAATTACTCATCTCACTCTGAGCCCCCAAGTAAATTACAGATGGATTAGAGATTTAAATGTGTAAAAGATAACCATAAAAGTGATAGATAAAAGTTTTGATAGTTTTGTAGTTGTGGATGGTCTTTTCCCAAAATCATAAAATATACAGCTATAGAGTGATAAACTTGACTACCTAGACATTGGAAATTTTTCTTTTTTTTTTTTTTTTTTTTCTTTTTTTTTGAGACAGTTTTGCTCTGTCACCCAGGCTGGAGTGCAGTAGTGCTATCTCGGCTTACTGCAACCTCCAGCCCCTGCCAAGTTCAAGCAATTCTCCTGCCTCAGCCTCCGGAGTAGCTGGGATTACAGGCATGTGCCACTATGCCCGGTTAATTTTTTGTATTTTTAGTAGAGATGGGGTTTCACCATGTTGGCCAGGCTGGTCTTGAACTCCTGACCTCAAGCAATCTACCTGCCTTGGCCTCCCAAAGTGCTGGGATTACAGGTGTGACTCACCACACCTGGCCACTCCTACTAAACTTTTCTGAACTTTGATTTTTTTTCACTTAGACAAAAGTATCCCAAACATTCTTACATGTCAGCCAATTTTTATCATGACAGTTGCAGAGTACAGATGTGGCAATTTATTTAACCACTCTCTAGTCCTCCTAGTCCACGTACAATTTGTTTACCAATCAGGGGTCATTTTTACCATAAACAATGTCACTTGGTAGTACAGCTGTCATTCAACCATTATTGGATTCTCAGGAACATGGGACATTTAGGGCTTTCTCCTTCTACTTTTTGCTAGTATGAATAGAACTGCCTTGGACATCTTTATGGACATATAAATATTTCACTAGGATGGAGTCCTATAAATGCAACTGCTGGTTAAAATAACAAAAAGATCTTTAATAAGAACAGCCAAATTACCTGTCAACCAGCCAGTACTCTCATCCACAGTGGCTCTTATCTATCTTTTCAAAGTTTACCACTTTCACAGGTAAATGACAGCATGTATGTGAGTTTCAGTAATGATTAAAATATTTTTGTATGTTTCCAGGCCACCAATATTTCTGTTGCTATGAGTCTTGATTCTGTTGGGTTGTCTTGTCTTACTGATGTATTAAAGGTCTAGGGTAAAATTCTAGAAAGAGCATTGCTGTGTTAAGGATATTTCCAATGTAAATTTTGATACATATAAACCAACTATTCCACCACAAAATGCTGTATACAGTTTATAACTTCTTTGCTGTTTTTTTCTACATACTTGACTGTACTAAGTATTATCAACCTTTCTGATGTTTAAGCATATGAATCATGATACATGGTATACTATTCTACATTCATTTCATATTCTTTCAGTTATGTATTAGGTGTGATCTTTAATGATTTGTTAGAATTTTAGTGTATAAAAGAAGTTAGCGCATGTGGGTTTTTGATAATTTTTAAGATTTTCACTGTGCTACCTAGAAATTTCTAATGTCGGGGCTGGGTGCAGTGGCTCATGCCTGTAATCCCAGCACTCTGGGAGGCTGAGGCGGGTGGATCACTTAAGGTCAGGAGTTCGAGACCAGCCGGGCCAACATGGTGAAACCCCATCTCTACCAAAAATACAAAAATTAGCTGGGCATGGTGGCGGGTGCCTATAGTCCCAGCTACTCAGGAGGCTAAGGTGGGAGAATCGCTTGAACCCAGGAGCGGGAGGTTGCGGCGAGCTGAGATCATGCCACTGCACTCCAGCCTGGGTGACAGAGCAAGATTCCGCCTCAAAAAACAAACAAATAGCAAAAACCTCCAAACAGAAAAGCATAGTAGGAGCATATTTTCTTTAAAAACAACCCATACCAAATTTTGTTGTTTTGTATATACATAAAAAACAAAAAGTTTCTGTAAGGCAAACAGTTAGTAGAAGGACTGAGACTGGGTGCATTTGTTGGAGTGCAACAGAAAGGGAGGAATGAAAATCAGCCCTGTTTTCCTGGCTTGAAAACTGGGAAAGTAAACATCGTTTCAAACGGCTTCACACTTTTTTCTCATAAATTGCCTGCCTTATCTTTTTGACTATATGTCCA